ACAAGTCAGGGAGCGGCGGTGATTCGCCGTAGGCGTCTTCGATCCGCCGCCCCTTGTTGGAGTGCCACAGGGGTGCATGGCGTGCCAAACTTCAAGATGTGCTCATCATTTTAAGGCTTCTAAAGGACATTCGGCCTAATGCGCCAATTCGGAAGAAGGACACTTATCTTCCAAGTTCGTCGGTCTTCCCGCTCCAGTCGGCCCCGAGACGGGCTCCAAGACGACAAAGACGGTCTCCAAGACAGCTACAAGTGCGCCAAGAGTGCCCAATATGGCCCCGTGATGTTTCCTAGACGGGCGGTGATGCTCCACAGATGCCTCAAGATGGCCTCAAAATGGCTGAAGACGGCCCGAGAGGCTCCAAGCCGATTCAAAAGACATCAAAGAGGGCCCCAAGGAAGGCACGAAAAAGCCAGAACACTTATTTTCCTTTGCAATCTTGGCTGGCCGATAGCTTGGTCGGGCTCTGGCCAAGCTCCAGCCGCACCGGTCGGTCACGTACGTGGTCTACAAAGCAGGGGGTGGCGGTTCGCCGTATGCGTTTTCAATAACCTTGTCACCGTCGAGGTAGTCCCGCAGAACTCTCATGACGAGCCCTGTCAGCCCAGATCCGGTGCCACCAGAGATGGAGTGCACAAACTGGATCCCCTGGAGGCAATTGCAGCGCTCAATCTCTTTCCTTACCGACTCCAAACACTGGTCTGCCAGTTCAGGCCCGTCCGTGTGGTACGCCTTGGCGTAGCAATTTCCAGAGCCTGCATCGTTGCCGAGTATGTTCTCTGGCCTGTAGAGGTCCCCGAGCGGGTCCTGTGTGATCGCGGCCAGGTCAGACATGTTCAAGTCCATGAGGATGGAACGAGGTACCCATCGCATCGCGTTGTCTTTGCTTCTGGAACCCTCGTTGAAGAATGTGTGCAAGTGGTCAGGGAAATCGTCCTGCGGGTGATACTGGCCCTTGGTGTCGTCGCCTTTCCACTGGATGTCGTGCTCCTGACACAGGTCACGCCAAAACTCGTGGGCGATAGCGTTGCCAGCCTTTCCGATCTGGATATTGATGACCTCCTGCCTGGACGTCAACTCGGGGGCTTCCATCTCGCCACTTTTCGACCCGGCTGCTGGGGTCCGAACTCCGCTCGGCGGAGGTGGCGATGGGGGGGCCTCCCGTGCCGTCTCCGGCGCTTGAGCCCAACTGGTTGCGAGCAGGTTCCGAAGCCAGTGGATTGAAATTGAGATACCACGTGACATACCAAATGGCCAGCCCTTTTGTGTGCCCCGGAAACGGCAGGGCCTTTTTTCACCGTTTCCAAAAAGATATCCCTTGAAAATGGACACGGCAAAAAAAAAAACGGCGACCGGAAACGGCAAAAAAACGGCTCCAAGATTGGACCCGAAGCCGGAACCGGTCAAACTACAGCGACGGAACCGGTAAAAAAACGGCGTCGGAACCATCAAAAAAACGGCAAAATGGAACAAGTAAAAAACACGGCCCTGTCGTTTCCAGGGCCCACTAAGGGCCAGCGTGGCCCAAGGTTCGCGGCCAAGTGTTGCGCGAGCACAGAGGAGGCCCCACCCGGAAGCACATCACATTCGGCGACGAGAGAACCCTGGAAGACTTCGGCGAAGGCTGCGACGCCGATGCAAACTTGGAAGACAGCCGCGACGGCAGCAGCGGCGACGACGACGGCGAAGACAACGGGTGCGACAACGACGGCAATGTTGACGTTCTGTTGTTTCTCCCTTTCCCTTGTACCCGCCCGCTGGGTCTATGAACCGTCCTCCGTTGTGGGATAGCAGTCTGTATGCGCATCGCGCCGCCAAGGCCTCAATGGGATCTATCTGACGCGCCAGTGGGCAACCTTCCAACTTGAAGAATTCTAGGGCGACAACGCCGTTGATGAATTTCGGGACCTCGGCCAGAACACTCCGGAGTGAACTGTCAAGAAATATCGAGCCGGAGCCTCGTGGTCGGAGATAGGCCCGTACCAACTTGGCTGAATTGCGAGGCGGTCTCGGGCGAAAGCGTCCTTCCTGCGTTTCGGGGTCACTCCCGCCAGACCGTTTCGAAGCACATTGTGAGAAAACATGGGGCGGGCACCGTTGTCGTCGTAGCTTGGCGGTCGCCAGCTCGACTGAACTGCGGGGACGTCTCGAGCCATAACGCCATTTTGGAATTCGGGGGACTCTCTGGCCAGGGCGTCTCCAAGCTCCCCCCTCGCAACCACCACGGCAGCAGAGTGAAAGATGATATGCCAACGAAGTCGAGACAACGGGTGTCGGTAAGCAACATTACCGTTGGGTACACCAACTTTGGTAGAACTCCTGCCGCAAACCCCGAGCGGCCACCGCAATACATCCGATACAACACTGGGACTGGCAAACCAAATAGTTCCCATCCCCCGGCAACGTAAACAAAACGGCCTTTGACTACAAGGGATGAAGATGGCTGCCGCGAGGCAGGCATGCGCCGACCAGACGGCTTCGGCAGCGCGGAACGTGGAGTGCCTAAGGGAGGCGGATGGGCAAACTCAATAAAACCGGAGGTCCGCCAACAGCGGTCTCAAGCAAGCCAGGCGGCGCGGGCATCTGGTGGGTCACCCATTGTCACAAACGGGCGGCTGCACCTTGCCGAGCAGCAAGGCTCGGCTCGGCATGCCGTTTTTCTGGCAGCCGCGAAATGCCGACCGCCTACGGATCCACATGCCCGATGTAATGCGAACTGGGGAGGGCGAAAGCGAGACGAGCAGAGGAGGCGAAGTCCTGGCCAACTCCACAGGGGCTTGCCAAAGCTCCGCCTCCAGGGGGGCGATCGCGGGAGGAAAGGGAAGAAGGGGGGGGAAGTTGCGGCGCCAGTGGTTGCGGCCTGACGCAGGGCCCCTTGCGCACGCGCACAGCGAGCAACGGAGACCTGAGGCTCTGACTCCCTCCGGTGGCCCCCGAATCCTGAGCTTGCGCGCGCTGCGGCAGGCGAGCGCCCCGCAGGGGGGCTGCGTCGCGGGCCCAGCAGGGGCACGGCGGGGCGAGTCGTGAAACTGACGAGTAACGCCCGTGGCGTGTCTGGGCGCGGAAGCCCTGGTTCGCGGCATGCGGCTGCAGGTGCGCGCGGGCATCCCGCGCCATGTTCGACAGACTCCTCGATCGCTGCGCATCCGAACGTGAAAAGAAATACCGCGCCTCTGGAGCCTGCGGCTCGTGGCTCCGCCATTGAAAAGAGTCCTGGTAAGAGTGGCGAGCGCCTGTGGGGAGCACGGTGAGCCGACCGCGGGAAACGCAGGCACAACGCGGTCCAAAATTACGTGCTCTGGAGGTCGCGCGCCCGCATCGAAAGCCGCGCGCAGGAACGTGCGCAACTCGGGAGAGCGATCAGGGGTCCACGTGCTGAGCTCTGGTCCCCAAGGCCACGCGCGCGGGCGTCAGCCCGCGCGCCTCGAGATGCACTCTGACGGCGTCCAACTGGAGGGGGAAAGCTTTTTGGTACCAAGGTGCCCAAGTGCCCAGACGCTCGAGCGACCAGGTGGCGCAAGATCGCGCGTGGCGGAGCCTCGCAATCCGTTCTCCGACCCAAAGGCCGCCTGCTGAAGCCGCCCCCCACTGGCAGACCCTGCGCCTCGCTGCCAGGGGCACTGCGTGGGGGCATGGGACCGAAGCGGGGACGCATAGCAACGGTGGTCCGAAAGCGCCAGGAAGCTCAGCGCGGACAGCGCACGCACCGAGTGCGGACCCGTGACGGCGCGCATCCTACCCCCTGAGCGGCCCATAATTGGTTGCGCTTCTTGAACTTCGCGCACGCGGCTCCTCCGCGAAACCGAAGTGTTGGGCCCGGCGCGCAAACTAGATGCCGCGCCACGGAGGCGCGCGCGAGTCGCCGCCTCCCGTCGCGAACCCTTGTGGTCCCCGGTCTGGACTGGCGCCTAATAAGTTTTGCAGATGTTCAATAGCCAGCCCGAGATGAAAGCGTCTCAAGCATGCAAGCCGCAGCAGCACCCCGCTGGAACACCATCGCCAAGTCGCCCGCGAAGGCGCGTTGAGCGGCCACCGCGAAGGGCAACGGCGACAGCGGGCACCCCTTGTGCCAGCGGTTAGAAAGAAACCCTCGTGCAAGCTGTTCCCGTCGACCAGCCAGCACCGGCTACTCTAAAACTGCAGTAAACTGCAGCGCACCCATGTCATTTAGAAAAGGCGCCGCAGAGGCCCGAGTCTGCGAGGACCTCTGCGAGAAAGACCTGTCCGACGGTCCTTGGAGTCGGTGTCGGCACGGGCTGGAAGTGTCCTCTCGACTTCCTATGGGCGTTCACTCCTTTGGTCGGAGGAAGAGGGGAGATGAGAATTAGAGCGAGGAGTACCGACGCACGCCGCCGCCGCCCTTTCAAGGGTCAACGAACGCGGCAGGCCCACAGACCTGGCAATGGGCCCCCCTACCCAGCGCCGCGGTCCCGCAGGCAGGGACGCAGTGCCGACGCTGGTTCTCATCCTCCCACTCCTCAACGGAGTGCCCCCGATATTCTGTCTCAGGGGATAATAGAGTTCTGAGTTCCAGGGGATAAACAACGACAGGGAAAGATGTTCCCAGCAAGCCGCAGGTACGGATGTACGGCGTACGGATGTACGAAGAGTACAGATGCACAAATAGTAATGGCAGTAGATGGGGTAAGCTTCGTTATCGGGACCATGGGGTTACCCTCCTCCGCATCCCCCATGTCCTACTTATCATCATGATCCTCTTCTCCCTCCTCGCTTCTCCTCCTCGCTCCTCCTCCTCCTCCTCCTCCTCTTCCTCCTCCTCATCCTCCTCCTCCTCCTCCTCCTCCTCCTCCTCCTCCTCCTCCTCCTCCTCCTCTTGCTCCACACTCTCCATCTCCTCTTCCTCCGCCACCTCGTTTCCCTCCCTCTCCCCCGACGGCGGCGGCGGCGGTGACGACGACGGACGCGGCGGCGGCGACGGCGGCCGCGGGGCACCGTCGCCGTCGTCGTCGTCGCCGCCGCCGCTGGGGGCCGTCGAGGGCCTCCTGCGAGAGGCCGTGCGACCACGAGGTGCCGATCGGCTCGAGCCTGGTGCTGACCTGGAGGGCGCTAGCTGGCACAATCGCTTGCTCTGCTCGTCGCCACCGCCGTCGCCGCCGTCGTCACCGGCAGTCGCCGTCGTCGCCGCCGTCGTCGTCGTTGTCGTCGTCGTCGACGTCGTCGTCGTCGTCTCCGTGGTCGTCGTGGTCGTGGTCGTGATCGTGATCGTGGTCGTGGTCGTAGTCGTGGTCGTGGTCGTCGTCGTCGTCGTCGTCGTCGTCGTCGTCGTCGTCGTCGTCGTCGTCATCGTCGACGTCGTCGTCGTCTTCGCCGTCCGTCCCCTGGGTCGTTCTCGTCAACGGGATCATCATCAGCGAGGCACCCACGTCGTCGTCGGTGCTGTCGCCGCCGTGGACGTTGTCATCGACCGTCGACGTCGACTTGGCCATCGCCGTCGCTGACGCTACTCTTGGCATTCCCATACCCGTTATGTTGCCAAACACCCTCCTCGTCCTCCTCCTCGCTCTGGTCCTTCTCCCGTTCATCTTTTTTCTCCATCTCCTCCTCATCATCATCGTCACGTGCTCCTCATCCTCCTGCTCTTGCTCGTTCTCCTCCCTCTCTCCTCCTCCTCCTCCTCCTCCTCCTCCTCCTCCTCCTCCTCCTCCTCCTCCTCCTCATCCTCCTTGTTCCCCATCTTCGACCTACTCTTCCGCTACCCCTCCCTCATGATCATCCCCCGCCTATGTGCCGCCCATCCTTTTCCAGCTGCACTTCGCCAGCTTGGTCCTCCTTATCCTAAGCCTCCTCCGCCTCCTCCTTCTCCTTTGTTGTATAACGCTGCGAAGAAGTTGGCGACGAGGCCGAAGCGTTCCTATGAGAAAAAGTGCGAGGCCGACTTCGGTTTACAAATGAAGCAGACGGCGCGTGCAGAACAGGACGTGTAAGCAATTACTGAAAAGCCCAGTAGCCCATACGTGCAAGGAGTCACGCTGCCGTCTGCCGTAGAAGAGGGGATGCACAACACCATGCAACTACATGTCATGCCACAAGGGAGGGAGCCAGGGGCCACGGCCTCAGGGGTAAGCTAGGCAGCTGTTGTGTTTGAGTCCTACTGTCTCCTCCTCCTCCTCCGCCTCCTCCTTCTCACCCCTTCCATCATCCTGCGGGCGGCTCCTGCTCCGACTCGTTTCCCCCCCTCTCTCCGTCTCCCCCCCGCCCCCCCCCCCCCTTCAGCGTCCTCCTTGTGCTGCTGCCTCCCCCCATCTCCTTCCTTTCTCCTCCTCCTCCTCCTCCTCCTCTTCCTCCTCCTCCTCCTCCGTCTTCCCCCCCTCCTTCAGCACCCTCCTCCCCCATCTCCAGCTCCAGCTTCCCTTGTTGCCCCTCTTCCGTGTTGGGTGTGTGCTACGGGAGGCCGCGTCCGACGGCGCGACGTGACACGGGACGGGTGCTCAGAGAGGGCGAGTCTCCGACGGCGCGGTCTGGCAAGACACTGGCGTCCTCGGGACTGGCGATCGCAAGAGAGTCCTTCGATACGGCGGTGCTCGGAGAGCAGGGCACTGTGGAAGAGGGGAGCATGGAGGGAGGATGTGGCGGAAAACGGGAAAAGAGGGGGAACGGGCAGGAGGCGGGAAGAGGAGGAGGAGGAGGAGGAGGAGGAGGAGAAAGGGGAGGAGAAGGAGGAGGCGGAGGAGGAAGAGGAGAAGGGGGAGGAGGGTAGGGGGAGCAGCGAGGAGAGGATGTCCTGCCACCAAAAATGGGCCGAAAGACGTCGCGATCTCCTCCCCCACCCTCTCCTCCTCCTCCTCCTCCTCCCTCCTCCTCCTCCTCCTCCTCCTCCTCCTCCTCCTCCTCCTCCTCCTCCTCCTCCTCCTCCTCCTCCTCCTCCTCCTCCTCCTCCTCCTCCTCCTCCTCCTCCCCCTCCTGGTTCCTGATCCCTGATGGCGTTGGAAGTCTCCGGCTACGGCCTTTCCTGTTCCTCCTCCTCCTCCTCCTCCTCCTTTTCTTCCTGTTTTACCCTCCCGTCCTTCCTTATCCCTGCTGCTCCACCCTGCCTCCACCTCCTCCTGCCCCTCCTCCGCGTTCTCCCTCCTCCTCCTGCCCATTCAGACGGGCCCCCCCACCCTCCTGAGGACCCTCCTCCACCCCAGGAGCAGCACCAACACTCTGACAAGCAGGAGCAGGCGAAGGGCACGACCGATGCCTTTGGTCGCCCTGCGAGGACAGCGGGCGATGGAGTGTGCGAGCGAACGGACGAGGGGGGCGGAGAAGAAACAATTCGCAGGAGCAGGAGGGCGATCAGGACGACGACGATGATGGTGATGATGATGATGATGATGATGATGATGATGATGATGATGATGATGATGATGATGATGATGATGATGCAGTAGATGATAATGATGGTGATGATGCTGGCTATGAGGATGATGATGATGATGGTGGTGGTGATGACGATGACGATGACGATGATGACAATGATGACAATGATGATGATGCTGATGATGATGATGATGATGATGATGATAATGATGATGATAATGCTGATGATGATGCTGATGCTGATGCTGGTGCTGATGGTGATGATGATGATGAAGATGAAGGAGAAGGGGGCCGGAGTGTATCCTGCACGTGAGGGCGTCCAGGCAATGACCAGGAGGGGGAAGGAGGGGAAAGGGCGAGGAGGAGGAGGAGGAGGGGGGAGGGAGGAGGAGGAGCAAGAGTCCGTCCCCCCCAGGAAGGACACGGCCGAGAAGCCGGCGGGGCGGCCCGCGCGCGTGCGCGTGCGCGGTCCGCGCCTGCAGGTCGGGCGCGCTGGCGGCGGGGCCGCAGGCTGGCCGCCTCGGCGCCGGGGCGGCGGCGGGCCTCCCCATCGGCTTGTCGAGGAACCTGGGCGCCATGACCTCGGGGGAGACGAGGCGGCATGTGGCCTCCTCCCGATCGTCCTACGCTTGGTCGCCTCCGTATCGCATTCGCACCTCTCCCGAAGCCGTCTCCTGGGTTGCCTCCCCCCCGTCCTCCTGCGCCGTCCGTGGAAGCTTTCTGACGGGCCTGTGCATGCTTCGTGAAGTGTCAGGGCGACAATCATCGTCAGCAGCAGCACAATCATCATAATCATGATGGCCATCATGGTGATATGCATCGTCATGATCATTTTTACCATCAACAGCAAAATCATCCCCTAACCCTCATAATGAGAGGGTTAGGAGCAATAGTGATGCGAAAAAAAGGATCACCATTATCAACTTCGGCATCACACTCATCACCATGAGAGCAATACTACTGCGAATATAACCAGCATGATCTTCATCTTCGACGTCATCATCATCGTCGTCGTCATCAACCTCAGCATTATCATGATCATCATCATCACCATCACCAGAAGCATCATCAGCATCGGCATCATCATCATGCTCATAATCACCATCACCGTCATCTCCATAATTATTAGCATCGTCGTCATCATGATCTGGACCACCCGTGCCAGAGTGGCGTTTCCGAGCGAGGCCTTTCGAAAGCATTGTTTCGGGGGGGCAGAAGCCTGATGAATCAAGTTCCGGGAAAGCCTCCTGGGAACATGAGTGGCTTTGGGTGTCTCGCGGGGCCTTTTTGGGTTTCCCTGGGAGCTTCTTGGGGACCTCTTTGGGCTTCCTGAGGTCCTCCTGGGTGCCTCACGGGGCTTCTGGGGAGCCTCTGGATGGCCTTCGGAGGCTTCCCGGGGGCGTCTGAAGCCGGAGACCGCGAAATGTCGGTTCGCATGTTACCTGTGCTCCATCTTGTGGGCGTTTTTGGAGCCCTCTTGGGAGATCCGGAGAGCGAACTCAAGGGTCTCCTATGCCGTCCGGGAGCGTCGGGAAGCGGAGAAGTCGAAAACGTACAAATCAGTCAGAAACAAACGGAAAATCAACGATTGTTGCGTGGTGGGGCCATCTTGGGGCTTCCTGGGGGCCTGTTGGGGGCCGCTTGGGGGCATTGGGGCCTCTTCGGGAGCTCTGGGGGCTGCCTGGGGCCTTGTTGGGGCGGAAGGCTCGAATGTTCAGTTCGTGGTCCCCCTCTTGGGCTCCTCTTGGGGACGTCCTGGGTCCGTCTTGGGCCGTCTTGGGTGCCTCTTGAGCCGTCTTGGGGTCCTCTTGGAAGCCTCTTGGGGGCCTCCTTGGCGCGTCTTGGAGCTCTCTCGGGGCCTCCTGGGAAGCGTTCAGGGCGGGAAAATAACATTTTGACTGTTTGTTCCCCCTCGTGGGCCCCTCTGGAAGCCCACTCGGGGCCCTCTTGGGCTTTCTAGGGCCCTCTGGGGCGCCTCTTGGGCTGTCTTGGGGCTGTCGAGGGCCGCCTTCAGGCCGTCTGGGGGGCCTCTCGGACAATCTTGTGGCGCTCTTGAGGACCTGTTGGGCCTTGTTGGAGTGTCGGAAAGGTGAAACACGATCAAAACCAAAAACATCGGAAACACACAATGGAAAATCATCGATGTTGGCCTCTCGGGGCTCTCTTGGGACGCTTCTTTGAAGCCTCTTGGGGCGGCAGCGGGGCTTCTTGGGCTGTCTTGGGGCCATCTTGGGCGTCTTCGGGGCCTCTTGAGGCTTTCTGGACCATCTGTACGGCCCGCGTGGCCTGTCGTGGGCAATTCGGAAGCGGCCCGGGGCAATCCCCGGGGGTCTGTGAATCCCCAAAAGGTCCCGGGGGGCGCCCATGGGGGAGGGTGCACCGGCCCGGCCCCCCCCCCTCGGCCTACTCCGATATACACCGATATATACATATATATACACATGTTTATATATGTATACATATATACATATATACATATATACATACATACATACATACATACATACATACATACATACATACATACATACAGACAGACAGACAGACAGACAGACATACATACATGCATGCATGCATACATACATACATACATACATACATACATACACACACATACACACATACACACATACACACATACACACATACACACATACACACATACACACATACACACATACACACATACATATATACATACATACATACATACATACATACATACATACATGCATGCATGCATGCATACATACATACATACATACATACATATGTACATATACACACATACATGGATCGACGGATGTCCTCCTTCTCCGCCTCCACATCCACCTCCAATCTCCAGCTCGGCCTCGGGACCAGAGGCTGGGTCGGATCGGAACGTGCGTCGGGTCGGGCTGGATCGGCGCGGCGTACGGTGAGGGCATTGGATAGGGAACCATCGGACAAGGACTCCAGGGTTTGGAAGCTGGTGGAAGTCCGGTCAAGGGTTGGCCATGATTATCACCGCCGCCCTCATCAGATAGGGAACGCTCCAGGGCCTGAAGCCTCCTGGGCACGTTCTTTCACGAACGCCCCCACCGTAGATAGTTCGAATCGGATCGGGCCCATCACGCTGGAGGGGAAGGGAAAGAAGGGGACGCTCGCTGAGGTAGGCGAGACAGGGGGGGGGGAGACAGGCTCAGAGCATACACTGCGTCGGGTGCGGTGCCGGCAGCCTCAAGCTCCACCAGGGAGGGATACACACAGGATTGACCCTGCGCAACATTCCCCGTCCTCCCTCCCTGCCCCCCGACTTCTCCCTAAATCCCTCTCCTCCTCCCCCGTCCTCTTCCTCGTCCACGAGGAGGCGGCCTCATCCACCTCCTCCTCCTCCTCCTTCTTTTCCTCCTCCTCCTCCTCCTCCTCCTCCTCCTCCTCCTCATCCTCCTCCTCCTCCTCCTTTGTGGCGTGCCAACGCTTTCCTGTCACAACGAGCGTGAGGGGTGCGTAGTTTCGCTTTCGTGGTCATCCCGCCGCAGACCACACCAGAGGCTCGCTGGCAAGCCCGAGCCAGCTCCTTCTGGTCTATGTCTGCTACGAAAGGCTCTCATACATCCAGAACCAGCAAACTCCTGCTATGGTTGAGTAAGGCGCACCGCGGCGAGGCGCGATGTGGACGCCATTGGATCCCAAGTGTCTCTTGTCCTCCCAAGTGTCTCCTCCGCCCCCGAGGAGCAGGAAGACAAGCGAGGAAGAGGACGACGACGACGACGAGGACAACGACGGCGGTGGCAGCACGAAGCGAGAGAGGGGGAGGGGGAAAAGCGAGACGCCGAACGCCCGACGCTACCCCTCGTCGACCAGGAAGATGGCCTCCCGGCTTCGGACCCGCCCGCCTCCCGCGACAGCTCCGGCGACGAGTGCATGGTCGCGAGGGCGGGCTCGACGCGGGCTCCGGCGCCTTTGTGGGCGCGAACGCCGCGGCGCTCACGACGCCCGACGGCTACGACGACGGACGGACGGAAAACGCCGACGGACGGCAGCGGCGACGACGACGACAACAATCACGACGACAACCACGACGACCACGACACCCACAACCGCGGGGGCGGGCGGCGAATGTGGCGGCGATGGCGCAGGCGGCGGCGACGGCAACGCCGACGACAACAGGAGGGAGGACAGGAGGGGGGAGGGGGGGAGGAGGGGAGGAGGGAGGAGGGGAAGAGGGAGATGGGCAGGACGATGAGGGGTCGGGGGGTGGGGGCAGGGGGGGAAAGACGAGAGATGGGGATGAGGGGATGACCTCCTCGTCTACGTCGTCCTGCTCTTCTTTGTCCTCCGCGTCCTCCTCCCTATCAATATCATCTTCATCCTCTCCCTGTGCCCCTCGACCGAACCCGAAGTACAATGTGACGCAGGATGTCGTTCGTAGAAAATCAAGAGGGGGAGAGAAGTACGAGACGGATGAGGATCAGCATGCACAGTTGGGTTCAAGACTGGGCCCTCATTGTCAAAAGTCTGCGGGCAGGGGCTAACGAATGGTAAGTGCCTGGCTGAACTCTACACAGGAGGGGGTGAAGAACCCGCGGGCCTGTCTAGGCATGCGCCAAGTCTGGGGTCTCACACCACCGCGATTTACTCGATCCGTCTGCTGAGTGAATGACTTCACCCTCCTTCCTTCCTGCTTGCGCGCCCGGTCACTGGTTCTTGAGAGTAGCGCATCGGCCCGAATGTGGGCCAGCCTTTGGTTGGGACTCGAGTGGCCCAATGGATCCTCGCAGTGATACCCAGAAGCTCCAGGTTGCGCGATCCGGGGTGTGGACACCACCGCCACTGGATTGGAGTACTTTGTAAGCCCCGCAGCATGTGGGGCAAATCCCCGCATGCACGCAGAGTCCTACGTCTGAGTTGCGGGATGCGCCAAGGCAGCCACCTAGGCCAGCGCGGCAGGGTAGAGGTAGACGTCTGTAAACTAGAAGGTGTAGGAAGTGATGAGGAGGATGAGGCGGAGGGAGGGCGAGGAGGCGTAGGAAGCGAGAAGGATGAGGAGCGGTCAGGGGCAAGCAAGGTGCGCTCGCGGAACACATGACGTTTTATGTTCTGCGGAACAATCCCTTCGCATGGCGTCGGATCGCTGTCCAGTGACCAGTGAGGGATTTGGGCGGCGAGACCCGAGGGGAGGTGAGACGGGGAAGGAACTCTCAGATGGCATCGGTGCCTCTCAAGAACTCCCGCGCCTTCGGAACCCTCCGTCGGCCCTCTCCGGAGACACGGAACACCTCTCAGAGAGAAAAAGGGGGGCTCCTGGGAAGCCCCGCCACCTTCTGATTTGGACGCCCGAAATGGGTACGGAAGAACTGGGCACAATGCCCAACAGCAAATGTTGTCCAAAACCAACAGCGGCAGCTGTTGGGCAGGCGGCCTTCTGTCTCGAATGGGCACAGGCCGCGCGGTGCGGACAGCGAGTCCTGTTCTGAATGAACAGGAATTGCTGTTGGGCATTGTACCCCTTCTTTCCGTACCCATTTCGTTCGTGCAGATCTGAGAAGGCCTGCCCCCTCTCACCCTCCCCCCCGGGCGCGCCGCCGACTCTGCCAGGGAGGGACTTCTGCTGGGCGCGTGGCAGCGGCGGCGGCCCCTGCGGAGCAAGGTGTGCCCTGGCACGCGGACGGTGTGCAGCTCCGCTTTCGAGGAGCGGGAGGCCGGGAAACACTCCGAGCGTTGATGCTTTGGGATTGGGACGTGCTCAGCGCGTCGCGCCGGAGGGCAGCGGCGCGACGCACCAGGCAAACGTTCCTGATCGTGGAATAGGCAGGGGCGAGGATGTGATGACGGAGGGAAGAAGCTGGGGGGAAGAACTGAAGGAGAGGGAGGAGACGGGTGTGTGTGCACGGTTGCAAGAGGACCGACGAGGAGGATGGGCAGACGGAGGGACGAGGGAGGGAGGAAAAGGACGAGGAGGAGGAGGACGAAAAGGAAAGACAGACGAGACAGGCGACGAGCAATTCAGAAGGACGAGGAGATATGAAAAAGGAGGGGGGAGGGGAAGAATAGGATAGATGGAAGAGGAGGAGAAACGATACTCGCTGTCGACGTCGTCCCCCTGGGAGAGGAGGAGGAGGAGGAGGAGGAGGAGGAGGAGGAGGAAGAGGAGGACGAGGAGGAGGAGGAGGAGGAGGAGGCGGAGGAAGAGGAGGACGAGGAGGAGGGGGAGCGGCAGCAGCAGGTCCAAGCAGGAGGAGCAGACACAGGAGAGGGAGAAGGACAGCGAGGGGCTGCGCTGGAATGCCGATGTCGAGCCCTTGGCGGCAGCGGATCGCACGACACGGCCGCTCCTGCTACAATCGGACCTGGGACACAATAACTTCCTTCAAGAACATGAGACTCTCCGCCGGCCAAAACACACAGAACATCCAAGGGTTCGTACACTGCCCAGGATGCACACGAACATCCAACGAGCACGAAGTACAGTAGGGCACCCTCCCCGAACCGACCTCGATCTTACACCTCGGGCCGAAAGTACTCCCCCCCCCCACCTTGTGACTAGGGAACAAAAAGTGGCATAAACATAAAGAATCAGAAAATAATCAGAAATCCGCGTGGAACATAAAGGGGCGCTGGGCCCCCCCGGCGGGGCCTCCGGCGCCGCCCCTGGCGCGCTCCGCGCGCCAGGGAGGGGGGGTCATGCGCCGATCCGAGAACTCCTCGCGGACCTCCGAGTTGTGATGTTCATGTCACTTTTCGTTCCCCCTGGAGTACCTCCCCCCTGCGCCCTGCTCCTGCTGCTCCCCCCTGACTACCTACCAGACCACCCCAACCCAACCCGAAGACCCGAATTTCGGGTTGGGGGGGGTAAGGGTTCCACATGTGTTTTTTCGATGTTTCCCGACCCCCCCCCCCACTGGAAATCGAGGGTAAATGTGAGCCTTCGTGTTGGGTTGGGGTGGTTTGGTGGGTGGTGACCCCCTGCGCCCTGCTCCTCCTCCCGACCAGAGCCCGGCGCGTCCGCGGCTGGGGCCCGCGCTCTGGTGCCTGGACACCTTCTCCGCGATCGCCGCCGCGAGGTCCTGCCCGTCCTCCCTCCTCCTCCTCCTCCTCCTCCTCCTCCTCCTCCTCCTCCTCCTCCTCCTCCTCATTCTCCTCCTCGTCCTCCTCCTCCTCCTCCTCCTTCTCCTCATCTTCCTCCTCCCCCTCTTTCTCCTCCATCTTAAACATATTGGCTGGATCGACTGGGATGGTTGAGCGGGATGGGCCGGCCAGCCAGGCCGATTGAGCCTGCCAGGGTGGAGCCCCGTGGGTACGATAGAATTGCGGCCTGTGGTCCAACATTCCCGGATAGCTCCTTAAGAGAGAGCTGTCAGCATTGTGGGATACAGTGGAGGCTAGTCCACAAGAAACTCTCGATAAGAAACCCAACCCTGAGACCCCATAACGTCCATTGATGTTTGGTGTGGGCACGTCACGCTTTCCATGGCAAAACCCTCGACACCCAAGAAACCCAGGGCATCCTGGAGGGAAACAGAGCGTTTCTTGGCATGGGCCCCCCCACCTTAGAATCTGGGAGGCAAGGCTAGGCCAACTTCCTCTCCACGGCTGCCGGTCATGGAACGCCGCGTCAGACTGCTGGAACCGGCAGCGTGTCCCGACAGCGCTCTCCAACTCGTTGCCCAAACGTGCGTCGCAAGCGCTTGCGCAGCTCTTGCGCAGCGCTCCTGCATTCGCGCGCGCATGTCCCGGGCAGCAGTTCCTAGGCAGCGCTTCCCTAGGCTCCTGGACAGCGCAGCGCTTGCTGGGCTCGCGGGCAGCGCCTGGGCAGCTCGCAGGCGGCGCCGAGGCGGTGCTTCCTAGACTCAAGTCGGGCGTGTCCCCATACAAGGGGATTTTCTACGAAAATGAAAGATACACCAAAAATGCACCAAAAGCGTCAAAAAATGCTCCAAAAATAATCCCCATATTATTTTTGAAGTATTTTGGGACTACCTGTGGGGTATCCTTTATTTTTCGTCGAAGATCCCCTTGTAGGGGGACGCGCCCGACCTAACTCCTATTGGCAGCGCTTCCGGAGGCCCGTTCTAACTCCGACCTAACTCCTAACTCCGACCTAACTCCCAACTCCTAACGCCTAACTCCTAACTCCGACCTGACTCCTAACTCCTAACGCGCTTCCGACCTAACTCCGACCGAACTCCTAACTCCTAGCGCCCGTCCTGGGAGGCGCCCCGGAACCTCCTGTATGAAGGGGCCCTGGGACACACAAATAAATACACACAAATAAAAATATCCCCCATATTTTCCCATCTTTTCTGGGTTTCTGTCTTCCCCCCCACTTCCCATATTTTCCTATATTTTCCTGGGAGTGGACGATTCATTGTGTAGGCAGCGCCTCCCCGGGCCCACGAGGCGCGCAGGGTTCCCGGGTATAATGAGCGCCCGCGAGGCCCCCCCGGGGGAAGCGCCCGGGCAGCCCAGGGAGCGCGCCTCCCTGGGCCCTGGGCTCGTGGAGGAGGAGGAGGAGGAGGGAGGAGGAGGAGGAGGAGGAGGAGGGAGGAGGAGGGAGGAGGAGGAGTTGGAGGAGGAGGAGGAGGAGGAGGAGGAGGAGGAGGAGGAGGAGGAGGAAGCCTCGCCAACTCTGCCTGCGCGCTGGCGCTCTGGTGCGCTCGCGCGCGCGAGCACGTGCGGCCGCGCGCCCTGCGCGCGCCGCCTGCGCGCGCCGACTGCGCGCGTGCCTCCGGCTCCGCCCGTGCGTCCGTCGGCTTGCGCGCCGCTCGCGCTGCGCCCGTGGGTGCGGAGACTCGGCGTACGCGCCTCAGCGTGTGCACGATTCTGCGCTCTTCGGGAGCGGCAAAGAGGGGGGCGTCCAAGAGGGGGGGTGCAAATCATGACCGGCCGCATGTGCGCGGCCCAGCGGGGGGGCCAGGGACGTAATGAAATAAGAAGAGGCGCCCTGAAATCTGAGGAAATATCATGGCCCACGCCATGATATCCACCCCCCCCTAGTCATCACCCCCCTCTTTTCCGTCCCCGAGCTCTGGCGTCTTTGTGAGATGCTCTGCTGGCCGGGGCAGGCAAGTCAGTCCTGAACGCGGAGCTGCGGCAACACAGAGGCCACCACAGGCGGCAGGCCTTCAACGTGTGGCTCAGAATCCGGCACGGGAGAATTCTTCCAGCAACGCGAAGGCGCCCGGCGCTGAACCCCCCTTCCTGGCTCGCCGAGCGCGCCAAGTGCGGCGCCGGATGTGCGGCCAGGGCCCACCAGCGCCGATCCGAGGACTCCGCGCGGACCTCCGAGTTGTCATGTTTATGTCATTGTTTCTTCCCGAATCAGAGCCGCGCTCAGGGGAAAACCTCAGATTGCGAAGGCAGACGCTAATCGACGCCAAGTCGGCGCTATCTCGTCGACTGCGACACGCCAATCGACGCCAAGGCACTCTAAAAACGGAGCTGCAATGGTACGCGAGGCTCCCATGATTTGCGACCGAACATGCGGGTTGCAGCCTGCAGCTCGGACTCGTACCGAAGAACGACATTCTGACCACGAGGGCCGCCTAGCCCATATCCTCGGGGTCCCGCCGGCGGGGCCCTGCCGCCATGCAGTGCGGCAGGGCGCAAGGACTCTGCGTCGGCCGCCTGGGGGGACCCCCCCCCTTGGGCTGGCGCGAAGCCCCGAGGAGGCCCGCTGCTCCTCATTTGCCCGTTCCTTCTCCTTCTGTAGCTGCTCTCCTCCCTCTAACATCCCCTCCTCTCCTCTGATTTCCCCTCCTCTCCTTCGTCCCATCTCCCTTGTCCCCACCCCTCCTCTTCAACACCTCCTGTTATCCCTTCCCTCTGTCTGCCGCTCTCCATCCTCAAGTTTTCATCCTCAATTCCACTGCAAAACTCATTCTGCCCTCCTCTCCCCCTACTTCTGCCCCCCACGCTTCCTCCTCCTCCTCCTCCTCCTCCTCCTCTTTCTCCTCTTTCTCCTCCCGCTCCTCTGCTGCTCCCCACGTCCCACTACTCGTTCTCCTCGTCGTCGTTGTCGTCGTCATCCGTTTACTCCCTCATCCTCTTCTCCACCCTCTCCTCAATCTTGCTTCCTCTGCTCTTCCTCTGCTCTTCCACCGCATGCGCCTCGATACTCTCCCCCCCATCTCCTCATCATATGTATCTTCATCCTTTCCCAGCATTCCCTCCTCCGCCACCTCCTCCCTCCCTCCCTCCCTTCCCCTCACTCCTGCCCCCCCGCCTCCTGCCTCTTCCCTTCTCTCCCCATATGTCCCCTAATCATTGCCACCGAGCCGTCTTTCATAGATCCCCCCACAGGGAGGAGGAGGAGGAGACGGATGATGATGAGGATGAGGAGGAGGATACGCACCGCCTGAGGAAGAAGAAGGAGGATAGGAGGGCAACGACTGACGAGGACGAGGGCTAGACAGAAACACGCAGAGGAGAGGGAGGAGAAGGAAGAGGAGACGAACAGAGGACAGGTAAGAACAACACCAGCATGAAGAGAACGGCGGCAGACGCGGCGATCATCATACGGCAACCGTCGTCGGCGACACGCAATAATGACTCCAGGCAAGAGTGATCTTTGGTGCGCAGCCCTAGGGGGTCCTTTGGGGACACCACCTGACGCGCAAGCCGCTGGTATCGCATCGTATTCGGCGATCGGGGGGCCCCATTGGGCCCGCACCAAGGTCACTCCGGCAAAAGGTCACTCTTACGTGTAGCCGACGTCGGGATGACCAGAAGAGCATGCCAGCTGGCGTGGCCCCCGTCCTGCTGCACCCTCACGCCCCGCGCCTTGTCCTTCTGGCGCCTCCGCGCTTCGGCTACGGCCGCCTTGACGACCTGCGGCGGCCGCCAACACCACAAGGGCGGCGGCGGGCGGCGGCGACGGCAATCACGACGACGGCGACGACGGCCACTGGCGCTTGACTCGGCGGTGCAACGGCGACGGTGGCGATGGCGACGTCTGAAGACGATTGCGACGACGTTCATGACGTCGACCACTGAGAGAACGGGGGCCACGGCGCGGAACGACGGCGTTCGCCACGGTGGCGACGACTGGGGGTGGACGATGACAAGGAGTATAGGGAGGAGGCGGAAGAGGCGGTCTTGGAACAGGGCGCAGAGGAGCTGGATGAGGAGTGGGGGGAGAAGGAATATCAGGAGTAAGGAGGGCCTCGCAAGGTCGAGAAAGAGGAGGATGAGGGATGGGGGACACCTCCTCGTTTTCATCCTCCTCTGCCTCCTCCTCTTCCTCCTTCTCCACCTCCGCATCGTCGCTCTCCTCCTTGTCCTCCTGAACCTCGTACGCAGCACGCCCCCACACCTCTTCCCGGAGGAGACGGAGGACACAGAGGATGATGATGAGGGGAGTGGCATGAGGGACGCAATGGCAGTCGGGGAGAAAATAGAAAACGTTTTTTTTTTTTGGAGGGGGAGCCTGTCGTCATGCATCACATGCCTCTCCAGCAGGGGGGGAGGAGAAACAACAGCAGCGGGATAGGAAGGAGCAAGATCGCGAGACTCAGCAGCAGGATAAGTTCAAGGACGAGTAGTAGAGAGAGAGAGAGAGAAACAACAAGAAACAAAACAAACAGAGAGAGGGAGAGAGAGAACAAGAGAGACAGAAAGGCAGGATCAAACAGGAACACTGGACGAAGGCGAAAAGGACAGTACACCGATGAATGAGAGCACGTGGAGGCTGCCCTCTTTCTCCATCCGCATCCTCGTCCCAATCCTGTCCTCATCGCTTCCACCCTGTAGTGGGCCCTGGAAACGGCAGGGCACCCGTTGTACCGACCCAGGCAAACCAACTGTTCATCCAGACGGGCAACAACGCTTGACCGAAACGGCGTGGGCGACCTGAAGATCCGACGGACGTTCCGAGCAGGTCCAACAACATGTCAGATCCGGACCATGACAAAGAGCTCGGCCAGGGCCAGGCCCCCAGCCACAGAAACGAACACTGTAAGACCACGGCACCAGAAGCGTCAACAACACTGCGCTGGAAACGGCACAATACCAGAAAAGTAAACTTGTGAACAGGTCAAACGGTGCAGGACCCAAACCGTTTGCTCCAGCGTACTACTTGGTAGAATGTATGCGTTGCGGTCCACCTTGCTGGCTTTGAAAAGCACCTCCACTTTCCGCGCAATCGTCCCGCCTTCCCACCCGCAGCTTGGTTTGCCGAATCCATGCGGCAGCAACTGCGATGATCTGCGGCCGCGCAAGCGCAAACAAGCACGCGCGCAAAACGCGTAGCTAGTTGAGGCGGCCGCCGTGGCGCTGACCGACGGGGACTGCCCAACACGTTTCGCTGACCTCGCTGGCGCGCGGGCATTTCACTGCGACTCGGTGGCCTGGGCGAGCGAGGTATTGACAACGGCATCAGCGGCCGAGATGATGACGACGACGATTGTGTTTAACGATGGTCACGATGACGACGGCAAGGCCAATGACGGCGCCGATGCTGGTCACGTCGAAGACGATGATGATTCCCATGGATGCGTCGCAGGTGCGAGTTTTGAACGGATTTCGACATGTGCACGGCCGACGCGCGCGAGAAGCCCACGTAGCATTTGAAAGGGGTCGTGCGCCCCCAGCAAGCGCGAAAAGACGTTCGCATGATTCCGACACGCGCGCGCGATGTGCCCTTGTGGTCTCACCTGACGAACATGTGGAAGAACAAATATGGACACATATGGCCTACGTGAATTCGCAAGCGCGCGCAAATATTGCTGCAATATTGTTGCACCAGTTTGACAAACGACGTGTTTGATATGTTTCTGGGAAGCCTCGTTCTGGAAATACGGCCGACACCGCTAGTTTTCACAGATCCCGAAATCCATGCGATCGACGACGCTCGCGCGTGAATTGCGCATCTACGTTGCAGCGGCACGTGGGGCCTTTTTTCGGCGAGCTGTGCGCGTACAGAACTATTTGACAAGGGCGGGGGTGGGGCGATGCACTCGAAACTATCATACGATACAATTACGAAATAAACGATGAGGCAACATGGGACGCGACTTGCAATGCCCCAAATTGGAGCAATAATGGCAGGGGGTAACGTTGATTCTTTCTCTAGAACAGGAAATGGACGTGGTGCGATATGCAAGTGGCGTCAGTTCTGCGGGGCAGCGTGCGCGGTGCAATCTTCGTCGACAACTCGCGATGCTGGGTTTGAGTTGTCCACTTCACTGCTCGCGCACCTCTCCCGCGCGCCCGCCCGCAACCTTGGACTTCAAAACCCACGCGGCGGCGACTGCGGCGACTGCTTGGCGCTGGCCGGCGCATCGCCGCGGCCGCGCAAGCGCGCAAGCTCGCGCGCAGAGCGCCCAGCTTAGTCTGGCGCGACCAACGCGGCCGCGGTGGCGCTGACCGCTGGGGACTGCCCAGCGCGTCTCGCAAGCCGAGCTCACGCGTGGGCACTTCAATGCGAGTCGGCGGCTCGGGCGGACGCGTGCAATGGCGACGCCGGCACTGGCGTGCACGGTGACGGCAGTAGCGGCGATGGTGGGTGTGACGATGACGATGACAACGGCAAGGCCAATAACGGCGCCGATGCTGACGCTCCGATGACGATGATGGTGCCCGCGCGCTGGCGATGAGGGTTGCGGGGGGATTTCGACGCGCGCGCGGGGAACCTGCGCGAGTGGCCCGCATGGTAGGAGTTGACGCGGATCGCACCCCTCCACGCGCGCGCACGGGCGTTCGAATCATTTAGACCTGCGCGCGTGAGACGCCCGTTCGGTCACGTCTGATGAATCGGTTAATTCAACTATCGTTTTCTCCAGAATACGCAGGAGCTCAACAACTTGTTCGGGACATGCTGTTGAGCAGCCATCTTCGTTGTTTCCAATCGGGACAGACACCTTTAACTCCTGCGCGAAACGCATGGCTGTTTTGACCCATTCCCGCACGCGAGCGCGCGACGCGCGCGCGTGAACTTCGCCCCGCTGTTCGTTGCAAGGGCTTCCTGCTAACTAATGCTTGTGAGTGGACGATTGCGCGCGCAATATCACTCCACGAAGATGAGGGGGAGGGTTGAAGACTTCCTCTAGTACCGCGAGAAAACGCAATCTGGTGCGAACGGAACCTACGCCGTCGGCGCACGAGCGCGCCATGGGAAATCAAGGCCGGTCGAGGCGATCATGACATGCAGCGATTATCTGATGACCCCCACCGCGCACTGGGCCCCCGGAGCTGGACATCCTTGGGATATCCCACTCTAAATATAAAACAAATGGCATAGCCGGCGATTTGCCGCCGAAGCACTGAACCACGTGGCAAATCGCACTAAGCCAAGCGAGCAACGATTCGGGGACGTCCGTCCGAGCCAAGCATATGAAAAGCTACTCCAGAGCGACTGGCGGGAAAGACTGGCCGTCATCGAACGAGACCAGAGCGGGCAGAAACTGGGGCGCCTGCTCGCCCATGGAGCAGATCCTGCCAGATTTGCCGCTCTTTGACTTTAAGCCCAGAGTTCCGACCCCGAACAAAACCACGCTGAGTAGTTAGTATGAACTGCCCGAGAGACCGGGGGAGTTCCTAGCCGCAGGTCTACGCGAGGCCGACCGGGCGCGCACGAGCACGAGTTCTGACGGTCTCGTCTGAGCCCCCACGCCCCGAGCCCTTCGGGGCGAAGGCGCGTCGCACAAAGTTTCGAGGTGGGGGCGGCGCGCGACCTTCCAGCCGCCGCGATCGCCGATCTAGCAGGCGAGCCCCCTGAGGGTGGTTTTGCCGGGGGATATGCGCCTAATCCACGAGCGCTGCGCGCTTGCTTCGTCGCGTCGGATTCGAGGCCTGCGAGAGCGGGGAGAGGATGTTTACGGAGGTCAGCTTCAGGAGGGCATTGATCGACGAGGGCATAGGCAGCGAAGCCGTCGATTCACTTCGCGGCGAAGGCCCCCCCTCAATGCTCGCCCAACATCCCCGAGACGTCGCCCGGCCCCCGACAGACCCCCCGCTCGTGCCGGAGACCGTGAAATCAAAGGCGGTGGTCAAGGCTCGACAAGAGCCTACTCCGCCAGGCAGTACCATTGGGCCTGCGACGATTTTCTGTTGTTTCTCTCGTCTGTGTCGAGATTGAGCAATGCTTCGGGTGGCTTCCGGCTGCCTACTGGTAGCGATCGTCATTGCAGTGTCGCTGGGGGCCCTTCAGATATTCGCCAGGCTCTATCAGCGCCGCCCAAGTCTGCATGCTGTAGACTATCTTCTTCTAGAAAGTGCTCACCGCGCGGGCCAAAAGCTCTAGCGCGTCGAGTGCCGGCAGATGCTGCCTCCATGTCTCTGGCCACCGGCTTCATGGACAGGAGCTGGGCGAGGGCGCGCGACTGATCCTCAAACAGGGCGCGGCCCCGAACGCGACGAGCAGCCTCGCGTTCAAGTTTCGCTCGAGTGGGGCGAGGCCATGCGAGGGCCCATCTTCCCAGGCTCGCCCCAGCGACCGCCGAAACTGCGCGCTCTGGAAGGCCCACTTGGGGGTCGGATGCGCAGAATCAGAAGTGCGAGGGGCAGCGGCCAAAGAGACGAGGATAGGCGCGCGGTCGGACTGCCCTCGCGCGTCGCCTGGCCCTCGATGCTCAACTGGTAGCGCGGCCGGCCAGGGCGCGAGATAAAACGCCTGCCGGTTTTCGCGAGTTTGTTATCAGGTTTGCGAAAGTGCGCGGGCTCGGGGAATTCGACTTCGACCATCTCTCCAAGTGTCCTGGACAAGTGAAGCGCTGGTGGCGGGCGCCAATGCTGGGTGCTCTGGGCGGCTGTGACTGCAGGTGCCTCTGGCGGCTCCGAGCTGAAGTTGAAACCGCCAGAAACAAGCGGCAGGCGTTTGCGACGTGCCACGCTGGCAGCGTCACGCCCAGAACGAATAGAGCTGGGCACCGCAGACTTAGACGGGCTTGGGATCTTGAAATCGTGGATACTCGTCGTAAGGAACCAACGACGCGCATGGATGACCGCCCCCTCGACGATGCTTTCTCTGCGTGTGTTGGGACGCCGATCGCGGAGATGATCCAAGGTAGGACATATAGTTATGACACCACCTTGAGAGCACTGGGTAGATGAGGAAGACGATGGGAAGGAAAAGGGGTGCGTGCTGGACCCAGGACGGTGGATGCGGCGCATGAAATCGTTCAGCTGCGCCAAAGACGCATGAAGTTCCTGAAGAACGAGACCACATCCAGGACCCCGGAGTTTTCGGGCGAAAGATAACTGCTTGGAATTGGGAGACTCATTGCGATGGAAGAGGGTACGGGTATTCCAGCTACAAAACAGCACCGGGATGAGCGATCACGAAACACTGGGTCAGGTTACGAATGCACGGAACATTCCACGTGAGGTTGGCGGATGCGCCATCGCTATCGGACGAGATCGTCCCTGCCACGCGCACCTTGCAGATGCCCAGCGACTGCAGGTGGTCGTCGCTGTACAGGAAATCGGGTTGGTGTCAACGTGGTGCGGCGTGACACTGATGAGAAGAACCTTCCACTGGCAGCTGACCTCACCATTCGCTCTGTCGGTGTAGAGTCGTGGCTCTGGAAACGCGCGTTCGAAAACCTGTTCCACTTGGTTGCACGCCAATTCACGTTTGATCACACACGCGTTTTTTTCGCCCGACACGAAGAATTCCGATTTGGAGCCAGCCACGTCGATGCCTTCGAACCTCTGCCAGTTGCCGTCGCCGAGCTTGAGCGACCCCAGCGCCTGGGCCACCTTCCTCGTGGCGAATGCTGAACCGTGTGGCCGAATGATGAAACGTTTCGAAGTGGGGTTGTTGCCCTCCAGTGTGCAGTCTTCATTGGTGTTGCTGATCCGCTCGAACCATGGGTCGAAGGCTTGAAACATGACCTCTCTGGCCGACAATTGTATGGTAGTATCGACCACCCGATCAAAAACCAGGATCAGCAGCAGGAGGTTGGGGTGTCTCATTTTGCAAAATGCCGAGGACGGTCTGCAATTGCTGGACCTGCTGCTCAAGGGAGCCGGTGCACCGTATCGATCCTCGAGGCGGGTGGCCAAGGACTCGTAAGAAGTGCCGACTTTCGGCGATACCGTAGAAACGGAGCCCTGCACAGCGGCCACACCAGCCAAAAGTCTGCCTTTGTGTCGTCCACGTACTTGCGGACGTCCCGATCCTCCTCAGCCTTCAGACGCTTCCTGTCGTCGTCATGGGCGGCCATCGCGCGCGCCCTGAGGGAGGGGGGGGGACGAGAGACCGAGAAGAAGGGAGGTGGGCAAGACGATCTCCTGTCGACGGCCACCTCGGGCCCAGGTTTGTCCCTCCGCACGGATGGAAGGGCAATCCCTCAACGGGTACAGATACCACTGCTCCCAGGACCTCTCCAGGGGTGCGCTCTGACCTGGATGTCGAAGTCCAGCGGTGGCGACGAGTGCCCTTCCCAGGAGGCCGAAAAACAGGGGGACAACGGGGGAACGGTACCGGTGTGGGTCCCTTTTCCTCCTCAGATGCCCCTTCAATTACCCCACATTCTTCTCCTCTTCCCCCTTCGGGGATCTACTGACCCAGGTCAATCCAAACCCGGGTCAGTCAGGCCTTGCAAAGTACTGCAAGATCCCTCAGGATCCTGCCGGATCCTGCACCCAAGCCCGGGCCAGTACACCCCTGGCTCTGCAGGAGCCTGCAAGACCCAGCGCTCTGATTGACCCCCAGTTGCACTGACCCCAGTGGGGCCCCCGCCTCTTGGGCCCCGACTCCTGCCCCTGCGCGGGGAGCCGGGCGCGCGGGCCTGGGCGTTCACCACCTCCCGTTCCAGCTGCTTCCCCGCGGCGCTGCTTCCGCAGGCCCGCCGTCGCTCCTCCACCTGGCCGGGGGGGGTGGGCGCCCGCGCGCGCGAAGGGGTGGTCCTCCGTCTTCGGGCTGTAACCATCGTCCTGCGAGTGCGCTCCCTGCGCGTGGAGTCCACGCAGCCTCCTCTCCTCGTCGTCAGCACCATCTTCGTCGCCCTGCTCCTCCTGTGTTCCTCGTCTTCCTCATCCTCTCCTTACCTCGAACCTGCGGGCAAGTTCGCGTCGGAGCGTCGATGCCCTCGTGGCCCTTCCCCCCGCCGTCTGCGGCGGGTGGGCGAACCAATGCCAAGAGGACAGAGAGAGGAGAAGGAGGTCGACGGATCGGCTGATCGATGAAGAAAGACGCCTGAAGCCTCCTCCTCTTCTCCTTCCATCATCCCGCCCCGTCGTGCTTCAAGACCATTCGCCTGCATGTCCGTGGCGTGCTGCTCGAGCAAGGCACTGCACGCATCAAGCGCTGCTGTAGCGGAGGCGCCACGGCCGTCGGCAACGCACCCTGGTGCGCTCAGATGGTGTTCGGTGGGCTTGTTGAGAGAGTTCCAAGTGGGCGACGATCGAAAACGAGCCTCTCGCGATATGGCATAGCGGTCTTACGCGGTGGATCAGGTGGGCCGCCAGCGCGGCACGCAACGCTGAAGCGAGGGCGCTTATGCACGACATTGCGCGAGGAGCTTACGCACCAGTGCCGGCGCCATCGGACCCGTTCGTGTGGCGTCGCCCAACTGCGTCCCGAAACTCCAGCTGCTGACCGCTGTTCCTGGGTGGCGCTCGAGCTTTCGAGGTTCGACTACGAGTGAAGGATGACGGATGCGTCGATGAAAGGAGGACGGGAGAGGGCGAGAAGAGGCGATGGGGGTCAAAGAGGCGGGAGGAGTGGCGTTTCGAACTCACGCCTAGGAAGCCAGCCTTGCGCGTGCCCCTCGCAGGATCTGCAAGCAGCAAGTGACACGCTGCAGCGCTTGACTTGAACATCTCGACAGGTCGAGAGACGTATCCCTTGTGGTGGGTGCCCCCACCGATAGTAAGATCGCTGGTGATATCAATGTTGGTATCGATAGTGAGGTCGATGGTGATACCGATTGCGAAGTCGACTGGTGAGATCTTTAGTAACATCGAGAGTGAGAACGACAATGAGGTCGATATTGAGATCGATACTGATATCGATTATAATATCGATGAAAGGATCCATGATATATCGATCGTGAACCAGATACTGAGACCGATACTGATACCAATAGTGGCATCGATAGTGGGATCGATGGTGAGTTCGATAATGAGATCGAGTGTGAGATCGATTGTGTTTCCGATCGGGTGAGATCGATTGTGATATCGATAGTGGTGCACCGTCGATGTCCCGTAGCGAGATCGACTGTGAGATCGTCTGTGATGTCGATGTTGATATCGATAATGGGTTCGATAGTGATACTGATCGCGGGATCGAAAGTAAGATCGGCTGTGCGATCGCAAGTGGGAAGTATAGTGAAATCGGTAGTGGGATCATGATGGCAAGCTAGATTGCGAGATCGACCGAGTGAGATCGATAGTGAGATCGGTCGTGAGATGGATTGAACGATACGTTGGTTACTCCTCCTGGCGGAACCTCTTTATCACCAGAAGGGTGGCTGTATAGGAATTACCACGGCCACGCCAAACCGAGACGACGCCTGGCCTCACGTGTTATTCGCATGGCCTTAACACCTGCCTTCACGTTTCTCGCAGATGCAGTACGATACTTCTGACGTCGCCGAAATGGCTTGAGCTGAATTGGATGTAGCATAGCAGGAGCAGGCAGGAGAGGGAGGCGAAATGAGGTGGAGAAGGGGGGAGGAGGAGGCATGAGGGGGTGCAGCGAGAGAGGAGGGGGAGGAGGCGGAGGGGTTGGAGGAGGGATATGCGAGTTGATGGAAAGGAGAAGATGCATGAGGGCGAGGAACACGCTGAGGATGATAATGGAGGAGCAGGAGGAGAACGAGGGGGAGAAGGAGCAGAAGGGGAAGATTTTTGGGGTGAACGTTGGGGAGGGAGGGGGGCGGAGAGGAGGTGTTACGACGAGGGGCGCGAACACGAGCGCCTTCCGGCCGCCATCTGGCACGCACCCCGCGCCGGCCGGCGCTCACGCCCAGGCCCCCTTGTCGGCTGGCCACAAGAGTGGCTCTGGGCAAGGAGTGACCCCTGGTGCGCGGACTGCCTATCGCTGCGTGCGATGCGACAGCAGCGCCCTCCGCCCCCGCGCCCCCCAGAAGCCGCCGCGCACCAGGGGCCGCCCCGGCGAAAGGTCACATCAGCATGAAGGGAACGGGTCCTATGGGAACCGGATCCTCGACCCCAGGGCCTGCCCCCAGGACCAGCGCTTCGGCCGAGGTGTCCTTAACAGTCTACAGGCCCGGGGAGGGCCCCGTTCCCTCTGGGCACGCTCGATTCCTGGCGATCGCTTCAGGCCTCGTCCTGGCGACCTTTCTGCAGACACTCGCTCCTCTCATGCGCCGATGCTGCGCCGAACGTCCGCCGACTTGAGTCAGTCGAACTTGCGTCGAACAGATCTGGTAGGTGGGCCTCCCCAGACCCCCGACGTCGTGAATTTTTTGCAACGTCGACCCCCAAAGGTCTGGACCCTCCCGGGGACCGGCTTGTCGTCCTGAGTTGTTGCGCTGATGCTCCCAAGGCCCGGCGAGGGCCCCTGGAAGCCGAAAATAGCGAAAAACCTCCCGTCGTGGAATTTGTTCACGACGCGAGGAGGTCTGGGCCAGGAGGGTCCTCCAAACGAGCACCGCACTCACTCTGACGTGCAGCCGACCTTTCTGGGACGCCGCGCCACCTCTCTTGCGTGCGACTCGCGGATCTCTTCGCGCCCCCGCGCCGCCCGTCCCCCCCTGTGGGCACGGGCGGCTGCTATGACCGCTGCAGCGATGCGCGAAGCGCGGCCATCTTTGCGGACCCTCGAGTGGCCTACAGTCAACCTCTATAGTGAAGATGCGCGATAAGGATGCAAGGGCCTTGGAAGGCCATTTCGAAGCCTTTCGAGCGGCGCGCGGCTGAAGAAAGTGGCCAAGGATGGGCCGAGGAGGCAAGGATGAAAGGGCACCCTTGGGAATGCTGCCGATTTTTACTATGCGGGTTGACTGTACAGTCCAGCTGCTGAAATAACGGCCGCGAAGTGAGGAACAAAGCACCTTTTTGGCGCCAGCAGCGCCTGGGTGCACGAGGAGGGCTAGAGGAACAACCGCGGAAGGACCTCCGGAACAACCAGCCCCTGCCGAACGCAAGCTGCTCCTGATTTCGGCGTCTTGAGTGTAGGCATCCTGGCCATCACTCTTGCGTGCCGCCGACCTTCATGGGACGCTGCGCCCCCACCGCCATGGGCGCCATAACCTCTCGGAGGGACGCAAAAAGGTGGGGCAGCGGCAGAGGCGGGGTGAGAGGAACCTCGTGCCAGATGCTTCCCCGGAACAGCGAGAAGCGAGCATCCAGCTGGGTCCGCTCCCCGACCCCACATTGTGATGCCTGACCCCAGCCTCTGCAAACCCCCAAGCCTTTTTCGCCGCCAGGATCTTCGGGCCCTCAGCCGGCAGGCCCGGCGCGCCCTTGCCCTTGCCCTGATCGGCGGTGCGCAAAACCGCCCACGGGAAGGAAGGTCCTCCTCCGCCTACTCCTTTCCCTCCTCCTCCTCCTCCTCCTCCTCCTCCTCCTCCGCCTCCTGCCCTTCCTCCTTCCCTGACCTCTGACCTGACTAGGGGTGGCAGCCCAATGAAGCGCCCCACTGATAAATTATGCTAACGGAGTTCCCCACATAAAGAGATTAACGGTTTCGTGGGACACATTTTCTTGATACCCTCCTCGCTCAGGCGGGGCCTCCCTGGAGGTGTGGGAGGGGCACGAAACCATGTAAATAGTATGGTTTGCCGATACCCTCCTCGCTCAGGCGGGGCCTCCCTGGAGGTGTGGGAGGGGCACGAAACCATGTAAATAGTATGGTTTGCCGATACCCTCCTCGCTCAGGCGGGGCCTCCCTGGAGGGGTGGGAGGGGCACGAAACCATGTAAATAGTATGGTTTTCCGATACCCTCCTCGCTCAGGCGGGGCCTCCCTGGAGGGTGGGAGGGGCACGAAACCATGTAAATAGTATGGTTTGCCGATACGCTCAGAGGGTGGGAGGGGCACGAAACCATGTAAATAGTATGGTATACCCTCCTCGCTCAGGCGGGGCCTCCCTGGAGGGTGGGAGGGGCACGAAACCATGTAAATAGTATGGTTTGCCGATACCCTCCTCGCTCAGGCGGGGCCTCCCTGGAGGGGTGGGAGGGGCACGAAACCATGTAAATATGTATGGATACCCTCCTCGCTCAGGCGGGGCCTCCCTGGATAGGGGCACGAAACCATGTAAATAGTATGGTTTCCGATACCCTCCTCGCTCAGGCGGGGCCTCCCTGGAGGGGTGGGAGGGGCACGAAACCATGTAAATAGTATGGTATTCCGATACCCTCCTCGCTCAGGCGGGGCCTCCCTGGAGGGGTGGGAGGGGCACGAAACCATGTAAATAGTATGGTTTCCGATACCCTCCTCGCTCAGGCGGGGCCTCCCTGGAGGGGTGGGAGGGGCACGAAACCATGTAAATAGTATGGTTTCCGATACCCTCCTCGCTCAGGCGGGGCCTCCCTGGAGGGGTGGGAGGGGCACGAAACCATGTAAATAGTATGGTTTGCCGATACCCTCCTCGCTCAGGCGGGGCCTCCCTGGAGGGGTGGGAGGGGCACGAAACCATGTAAATAGTATGGTTTCCGATACCCTCCTCGCTCAGGCGGGGCCTCCCTGGAGGGGTGGGAGGGGCACGAAACCATGTAAATAGTATGGTTTGCCGATACCCTCCTCGCTCAGGCGGGGCCTCCCTGGAGGGGTGGGAGGGGCACGAAACCATGTAAATAGTATGGTTTCCGATACCCTCCTCGCTCAGGCGGGGCCTCCCTGGAGGTGTGTATGGTGTGTGTGGTAGGAATAATATTGTGCTGTATGGAAGATGGAGCGGGAGGTGGGTGGGAAGGAGAGGGTGTTCTGGGAAAACAAGAACCCCACTCAGGATGTGGGGAAAAACAAGGAGGGCGGCCCATCAGGCAGTACTTCTTGGCAGGCCCAACTTGGGCGTCGACCGCCTGGGCATGGAACGGCGACAAGGCCCCTCCCAAACTCAAGGTTAAGAATACACCAAGGAGTGGGGAACTCGAAGTGCGGGCCACTCTCAGGCCACCCGAGGATGTCCTAAGGCAACACCCCCTTCTCCAGAGCGTCGGATACTCTCCTCCAGTGGGCACTACCTTCATGAGCGCGCCTTGTGCGCATGACCCCACAAGCCCGACACCAGAAGACAAATTGGAATTCCTCGATATGCCTGTGGGAAAAATGATTTCGGCTCGGGAGCCCACATCACTCCTGCCGCAACCACTGGTGTCTCGGGCACCATAGAGGGCGACTCGAGACGCACGCTGTACTTGAGGGCTTTGCCAGGCACAGAAACCACCGAGCGCCCGGTTCCCTGGAGCAGCTGTTTGGTGTGACCCACGGCCGCCAGCTTCCTCCGTTTGATGTCCACTTCTCAGTCTTCGCAGCTGCTGGGCCCGTGCAACCCAGAAGCGTCCGAAGCAATATAAAGCGAGACCGTCAGCTTGTCGAGCCCAGCTATTTGGCCGATGGCCCACCCCGGAAGCTGGAACGACATCGCAGCTCTTCTGCTTTGTTGTCGGGGATGGCGTTGGCTACCCTATGCTCATCGTCGAACCCCAATCGAGCACAGAGTCTGCTGTGTTCTGGGGAGACAGTTCGGACCCGTCGTCCCTCGCATTCCTGCCAAAACGCGCCCCCGCACGCTTTGTTGTCCCACGTGGTCGCCACGGAGACGTCAATTAATGCCTTAGACAGCAGAATCACTATCTCCCATGAAGACGCAGTCCCCGCCACTACGCTTGGCCATTCGAAGACAGGCCCAAATATCAGACACAGGCGCTGTTTGCTTGAGAGTGGGAGACGGCCCGCAGTCGCATCCCAGGAAACTCTCAACAAACCAACCTCAACAGAATCGTCAACTCCAGCAGAAGCACCTGGCGGCAGCGCTAGACGCCCCGCCTCTAGTTCTGGGCTGGCAACAGCATCCCTTTGGATGTTGTGAGATTGCGCGTCCAGGCCTTGGGGACGAGGCGCTTGAGCCAGAAACACTGGTTATTTCCCACTCCTCGCGCGCTCGAGACGCAAGATCCGAAGTTCTGGGGCGCGACCGTTACATGCGCATCCCCACACTTGGCACAACACAAATCATGACAGTTTCCCGCGCCTTGGGCACAACAAAGAGGTCCACGCCTCCTGCGGGCAACTCCGCTGGCAGTGTATCTCGGCCAGGTCAGGATGGCCCTCCTTCTCCTCCTTTTCCTCCTCCTCCTCGTCCTCTACTTCCTCCTCCCCCTTCTCCTCGGAGCCGTCAGGCGACCACTCCCCCTTTTCAATAAAATTTTCGGACAAAGGGGCCCCTTCCCAGAGTCATCCAGTCCCGCCGAGATTGCGTGTTTGGCGTATCTTGATTGCGCCATGCTGGGGGGGAGGCGCACAGCGTGTGCACTCGGCGCAACGGCCTGCGAGAAGGGAGTACATCAATTACTTTCGCTTCCAGATCGCCGCTCAGCAGGCCATGAAGACTCCGTGGCGATCGCGAGCACTGACCCATTGTCCGCCTCTTTCCTGGTTCGGCGGTCCTTCAAATGCTGGCTCACAACAGTGCAATCAACCCTTTCTTGGAATCCGCGGCATGCGCGTGGTGGGCCTGTCTGAAGCATCAATCGTAGCCGATCTCTTCTTGCCGCTCTGACAGCATCTGCTGCTTCTCATGCTCAACAATGTTAAACCATCGCCCTGGGTAAGATCCTGGTCCAGCGAATGCCGAGCAGGGATCCTTGGGCCGCTCCCAAGCCCCCAGGAGCCCCTTGACCCTTGACCAGCGCCGAGGACCCTCCTGACGGCGCTAGAACATTTTGCGCCAAGGAATTTGGACCGCCGGCCCCCTGCCACTAAGGAGCGGCAGCACATGAAACCACGCCTAAAAACTTGCACGGGCCCGAACAACATTGGACCAGCAATGCATCCGCTCGCGAGTCTGACGCGCGCGGTCGAAAATCACCCTGGGCGCCTGCATTCCTCGAGGCCCGCCGCGGTGGCCCTCAGATTAAAGGGGGCTGGACGGGGTCAAACCTTCCTTGCGCGGCAATGCTGTGCAACGCAGCTGGCGTGCGCCTCGTTTCGGTGGAACCATGGCTTTGCGATTGGCAGCGGCAAGCTGGGGCATCTGGGCAGCCCTGCCGCGCGCATGTTAAATCCTACCTTTCATGGCCTGCGCCGGCCTCCCACTTGCGCGCAAGTCGAGGCCCACCTGGATCATTGACCTGCTCGGGGCGCTAAATCCCGACCCCAGCCTTCCCCCGGCTTGTCGAAGTGACCCGGGCGATCCTGGCGGGGGCGGCGGCGACGGCGCTGGTCTCGCCGGCCGCGCACAGCCCCGCAGCTAGCCGCTTTCGGGCCAGGGCCCTCGCGGCAGTAGATGACTGTTCGGCTATGCGCCCAGACCCCGACTGACCTGCGTCGCCGCCCCAGGTGGGAAGTTCAAGCGGCCTGAGTTCAGGATGCAAGCTCTACGACGCATCCCGCTGAGCTAGCCCAGCCAAGCCCACGGCCCAACTCCATCCTGCAGCGAGGGGCTTCTCGGGCACCGCGGAGTCAGGCGCAAAACCCCAGGCCCTAACTCGCACGGGCGCCATGTTGACTGAGCGCCTAAGGCCCGCCGCCGTCGCAGCTCGAGCAGTCTTGCGGAGCCGCGCAAAGTCATGCATATCCGCAATGTCCCAGAGGCACGCTGCCCCCGGGAAGCTCCGGGCAGGCGCGATCTCGATCTTGCGTTGTCAAGCTAGGGGCTAGGGTTGCTCTTAACGAAAAGCCCCCCTTGACAGCCTCGCCCGAGCGTTGGGCTCTCGCAGCGCTTGAAGCCCCCGCCGCCCGCCTAGCCCCCGCGCCCCCCCCCCCCCCCCCCCGGCACGCGCGAGATAGCGGCCCTGGGTGAGATTGGCGGGGCGACCAGCCGCCTCGCTCCAGAGCTGCGGTTGAATTTGGTTCAGGAGCGCTTGTTTCGGCCACGCGACACCTGCTTCCATGCTTAGTGTAACTTCTGCTAACAGCTCAGTCCTGCCCTAACCTGGTCACGCTCAAACTAAGGGAGGGGGTCGCTCTCGGTGCCCAAAAGGAAATCGAGCAGTCAACCATCGGGCCCATCGTAAGCCTTGCCCCTGGACGTCCAGAAGCACACCCGAAAGCGGCCACGATTGCCGACGGCCTCGACGGGGCCCGCCCACCCCCACCCCCCGCGCGATGTAGTTAGCCCCAGCGTGGAGAGCCCCCGCCGGTGCCTGGTCACTCTGAGGAGTGCAACCCATGAAACTTGCGCTTCTCTGCCGAACAAAATGCCGCTCAAAATGCTGAATTGGTTTCTGGGCTTCCCTGGGCATGGCCACCCAGTCTCGCGCGTGCTACTCCTGCTTGCATTCAGGATCCTGTTGAAGTCCTGGCGCCC